TAATTATTTCAAGACTTCTATATTTTTATTTTTTTAATTTTGCTAGGGTTTTAATATCGACAGGTAATAAATTAAAAGCTTAGTAATTTTGGTTACCTTCTTAAGAGAAAAGTTTTCTCTGTACGGAGCCAAAGTCATTGCCGGTTTGGGCTCTTCGCGAAAGTGTGTGTCGAGATGTAAATAAACCTCATTTACTCCAATTTACTGCCAGTTTCATTTCCAGTCGAATGCAGTCGTCTTCCCTTTCATTGTGTTTTTTAATCGCACCTTTTTGTGGCCGCCATCTGCGACTCCACAGGTGCTCATCCGGCGACATGACATAATGGGCACATTGGAGTCTCCTTCTCCTGGTCCGTTCCATCGGGGACTTCTTTCACTTCTGTCAGAATAGGCGCCGATTTCTGGTTTGCGAGCTTCTTTCGAGGTCATTGGGATTTCGTAACCGCAATCCAGATTCCCTCGTGACTCAAGCCTCTTTATTAACTTAACCCTTTAAATACACAATTCATTAATATATTTTGGAAATACTAGGAATGTTGTATTAAAAACCAAATCTTAAACAACCGTTAAATGCTAAGTCTTAAAATTAATCTGGTGTTTTTCAAGTTATCTTTATGTAAGGTGTATATTTCTAAAATTTTAAAATAAAATACTTTTATCTATATTTATAAAACATTGTCATAGTGTTAATTGAATTTTATGGGGCTCTGACGATTGCCCCACTCATCTGCAAACGTAAATTTAATTTGGCTCCTTGGGAAACGTTAATTATACGCCCCGTGGTGCCAGAGCAGCCCTACTGCTCCACATCGCGATCATACGTATTACTCGTACTATTCGGGCCTCCTATTATGCGCCCCTCCTGAGTTCCCCCGATTCGCATTTCCCAGCCCATTTCGTAATCTTCGTGCCCATGTGACGCTGATGCTGATGGATGACGAGCCCACGTTGCGACTTACCCACAATTGAAATGCAACTGCAGTTGGGCAACGGGAAATGCGAACTGCAGTTTCGTCATTCCGAGGAGCCATCCCTCATGGCCAAAAAAATATGTATATACTATATGTAGAGATTTTTGGAAGCCCCGTGATCCTCCTGGGTTGTTTACCTTTGGAATCAATCGCGATGGTGGGAAAAATCACTTCCTGGTCCACCGCGAATCGAAGGAAAGTGCCAAAGAAAATTTCAAATACCAAAATCGTTAGCGACATTTTATTTTTTCGGCCTTTTCTTTTTTTCTTCTGTCGGTTCAGCGGTTGTTTTCCATTTGGAAATTTTGTTTTATTGTGAGAAGCGCAGCGCCAAGCGGCCAAAGCAAAGGCAAAAGCAAAAACAAGTTGCCAACGAAGTTTGGCGATAATGACGTTGTTGCCGAGTGGACGAGTTGGCCCGAAGATCTGGAGAGCTCTGAACACCACCAGCGGGTATAAAGAGTGGCTCTGCTGGCCAGGGAGATGCATTCAGTCGCTGGTTCCCCACTCGGAAGCAACCAAATTCACTCTACTCCACTCTACTCAACTCTTCCCCCCAACAAACACAATCGTCGCTATGAACTCCTTCTCAGTGGTAAGTGAAGATTTGAAGATTCGAAAACCAACCCATCGGACCTAAACGGATAACGGACTATAAACGGATTTAAAAACGATTTGGTATTACAAAAAGAAGTACAGAGGATTCAATTAAATTCTTTAAATATACACAAAGATTTTAGGTTTTAAAATCAGATTTAAAAAACTCCTCTAAAGCATTTTCTAAAGAATTGAAAAATTTAAATCATATTTTTAAAGAGTATTTCTTTTGAAGATTATACAGCTAAGTTCATAATAATTTTACCAAAAGGTTCTAGACTTCAGTTAACCTACAAGGACTACTCACTAACCACTCACTCCTTACTATTTTCCAGTTCTTAGTGTTCGCTCTGGCCGCTTTGGCTGCGGCAGAGCCACCATCCGGATATAACTATCCCCGCGGCGGAGGCGGCGGCGGTGGCGGCGGATTCGGAGGCGGCTTCGGCGGTGGCTTCGGAGGCGGCGGCGGCGGTGGTGGCGGCGGTGGCTACCAGGCGGTGAGCGGCGGCTTCCAGACCTCCGAGGGCCAGAACGTCGATCAGCAGCTGCTGGAGCAGATTCGTCAGATCCTGATCAACGAGGAGAGCAAGCAGGGCGGTGGCGGCGGAGGCGGCGGTGGAGGCGGCGGCGGTGGCTACCCCAAGTGGCCCCTCCAGCAGCTACGGTCCTCCCTCCACCAGCTACGGAGCCCCCGGCATCGGAGGCGGTGGCGGCCGTGTGGTGGGCATCGATCTGGAGGGCGTGCGCCAGGCCATCCAGGTGGCCCAGTTCGCCCAGCAGAGCACTCAGCAGGGAGGCGGTGGTGGTGGCGGTGGATACCCCAGCGCCCCCTCCGGATCCTACGGAGCTCCCTCGAGGCCCAGCGGCAGCTATGGAGCGCCCTTCTAGATCCCCGAAAAGGTCACACACATCTCTCTGCCAAAAATGAATACCGACGGACACGAAACCGACTAAGACGACACCAACACTACATCAATTTGGGCATCCTCGTCCTCGAAAAGGAACAACCGATCCACTCTGATCCCGAGAGAACTGGTGATCGTTCCCCTTCTCAAGCCCCCTTCCAAAACTCAGCGACTGTACCTCTCAGTTCCCCGAAACACACTCCACACTCCACAGACCCCAGGAACCCCCAACCCCAAACCCTATATCGAATTTCGGCTCGTACCCTCAACGAATCTCAAATTCGGGGCTTTGTTTTGGACTTTTTTGTAACCCTTGTAAATAGTTATCTCTCACTACACGAATACAAGAAAATCCGAAAGCAAAGGCCACAAAACACAACCCCCACAACACCAAGATGGAAAAACAACCCCAGACAGTGTTATAACGCATTATTAGCTCGTAAGTGTTTTTATTTTATATGAAACAAACAAAGAAACAACAAAAAAAATATGAAAACAATAAAAAAAATAGTAAATTTTGTCACCGTTAAATTACTGCATTGTTTTTACTTCTGTATTAATGGGGAGTAACTGAAATCGTGCACTGGATCATTAAAGCAAGTGACCCCATTTCCCATTGTTTACCTCCAAAAACACTCGATGATCTCGATCTCGTAATGACAATCCATTCACATAGACCAATTCCAATTGAACGAGTTCGCAGCTCTCCAAAAAGCCAGTTGTCATCTGGCCTCATGTGAGTTTATTAAATACCAAGCCAAACATCTTCAAAAATCCTTTCACTTTTTAACTCGATGATGAGGTAGCCGTAACCCCTGCCCTATCCTCAGGTACACTGAGCGAAACCTCTGGGAAGGATTTTAAAATTTATTTCGGGCTTCTTATAAAAGCAAAAGGTTTCTATAAAATGTATAATTTCAGTTGTAATAACTCTGTTAAAAGGATTTGTGTCACAATAGGTGATTACACAAATAGAACTATAAATCTACAAAGTAGATTTTTCGGACAAATTAAACCATTAAAATTGGATATAGCGCACACCTAATCTCCGATGATTTCTTCTATAACCCTAATTATAAAAATGATTTTCTATTTATTTTTTTCTATTTATTTATAACTTGTACAAATTGTTTTCTGTGCATGGAGTACTCTCAACTTCAATGGCTGTCGTGTCGAAGTGCTCGAAATGGAAGATGTAGATGAAGATGAAGATGGGGATGCGAATTGCCAGATGGCATGGTGCCGGAGGGGCGCTCATTACGCGAATATTGCGACAGATGCAGTCGAGACTCTGGGCCAAATGCAGCGGACGGAGAAGGGGAGGGGCCAAGAGGCCGAGGGGAGGATGAGTCGATGGACATCAACTATTACCACAAACTGAAGTTGGAGTTGCGGCTCAAGCTATAAATGAAGTGGAAGCCTGAAGCTCAAGCTTAAGTTGAAGCTGCAGCCACTTAACCAACATTCGGCGTCATTAGGATTGCCCAATTAGATGCGTGCCGAGACGGCCATCCACATACATATATGGAGGTGCACCCAAAACGATGCACTGGCAGATGAGCCGCCAAATGAAGTGGAAGCCATGGAATCCGCCTATTACAGCATCGTAGCCACCGCAGAAAAAAATTGCTAATAAAATCAGTTGCATATGATTTTTAACGACCACTAACGATTTGGCAATAAAAAATTAAAATACTTATAACCGTTTAAGAACTGATATTCTAAAATTATTTCCTTATTAAATAATGTTAACCAACCTTCAAAGTTTCAAATCATATGTAAATGATATGATGAGTTATGTTTGCTTAAGATAATAGAGAGATGAAGATCATATGTTAATCTAAATGTAACGGAATGTCTCTCTCAACTCCCTCGTTTCAATTTAGTCATTCTGAAGTCGTCAAACGCACCATTCGTCTTATTTAATTATTTTATAACCAACAACCTCACGTGTTTCCATAAACTGTGATATACTAAATACCATACAAATAATTTTTATTAAATGTTGTTTCCGTTCCTACGTCGTTAAATTACATGTAAAATTTAATAAGGTTAAATATAATTAAGAGGTAAATAGGTTCACGTGCTTGTGTCTGTACTCTCACCATTCTCGAATTTACCAGCAATGGTGAAATTTAAATTCTCCTTACCTACTTAGTTCAAATAAAGATTAAAGTAACTTAAACCTTAACCTAGCTCTTAATATAGCTTCAGACCTATAAAATCTATATGGTTATTTGCTTGAATCCCAGCAACAGCAGGGTAATACAACTAGGTTAATGATCTTCAGTAAAACACTTGATAAGAATCAGCATTCAAACACTATCTCCCATGCCCATGAAAAGCAATAGTAGTTATCTCCGTTACTTTTGGAAACTCACTATATAAGCCGATAAAACTCTATCCCTAAGCTCTCGATAAGCATCAACCATTGGAGGTGGCCTTGTCTGGGGCCAATTCCGGAATACGATCTCAAGAAGAGAGTTCAACTCACGTGAACTGCTCCCAAGATGACTGACTGAAAGCTCGGATGACTGGCGGGTTCTCAGCAGGATTGTAATGGTGATATCAATGTAAACACACAGCTTCTCTACTTGGATGACAGCGAAAACAATGAATGACATTACGCAATCTCAGGCAAGTCAGGAGCTCTTATCGCACTCCCGCTGGGAGGAGGAGGAATTGATAGAGGGGTCTTAAGATCCTAGATAGATAATACCACCATCTGATAAGGTCGTACGCGAGAGCGCCGTCGATAGATAATATTTAGAGCGGGCAATTCCGGAGATAATCTGGAACCCAGAACCTTATATAAAGACGGATCCGTGGCCGTGATGAGCTTAATCGTGATTCTCCGCTGCCGGGAGCCGGAAAGTGAATACTAATTAGTGTGGTTCCAGTGATTCGAGGATTCCTCCCAAAAATGTCCTCGCTTTTGAACGCCACCATTGTGGCAACCGCTGCCACCGTTGTGGCTCCCGACTCCCAGTTCATTTTCAACTCCACGGACTACGCCGTTTTCGCCCTGATGCTGAGCATCTCCGCCGCCATCGGAGTTTACTTTGGATTCTTCGCCACGGGTGCGGACACCACGGAGGAGTATCTGATGGGCGGCAAGCGGATGAAGACGATTCCCATTGCCATCTCCCTGGTGGCCAGCCAATTGTCGGCCATCTCCATCATGACCATTCCGGCGGAAATGTATGCCTACGGAATCAATTGGTTTTTCAATGTGGTTTGCATGATTGTAGTGGTTCCCCTGCTAAATTACGTGGTGATCCCTGTCTTCTATAACAACAATATCACAAACTGCTACGAGGTAAACCATGTTGTATAGGTTTTCTAAGGAAACTCCGACTTATAGATTATGTTTTCCTAGTACTTGGAAATGCGTTTCTGCCGGGAGGTGCGCGTGATGCAGACTTTCATCTTTATAATGACCATGTTCTTCATGCTGCCCATCTTTATTTTCCTGCCTTCACTGGCTTTTGCTCAAGGTAAGTCTATCATATCTACGGTAATCCTTCCTACGGTTTTTAATAATTATTTTTCCTTAGTGACTGGATATAATGTGCACATCATCAACACCGTTGTCTGCAGCATCTGCGTATTCTACACCATGTTTGTGAGTTCTACCTATTTTTTTGTAATACTTGGGATTTAGGATCCATTCAAAAACCTTATAAAAACTATTAAATCCTGATTAGACAGATTAGAGAACCAATTAACTTTGAAGTCTAACCAACCTTAAGTTTTAAGTAACTAAAATAGTACAAATTCTATATTTAAAGAAGAGATATTTATAGAAATCAACAGACTAACCTTCTTTCTGCTACCTTTTAGGGAGGAATCAAGGCCGTAGTATGGACCGATGTCATCCAAGCTGCCATTATGGTGGTTTCAGTCGTTCTGGTGGGCGTTATGGGCGCCAATCGAGTGGGTGGCCTCTCCGAAGTCCTGCGCATTGCGGGTGAGGGTGGACGACTGGACATCAACTACAACTTCGATCTGACCACGCGCTCCACCATCTGGAACATCTTCGCATCGGCAACGATTATGTGGTCTGGCTACGTGGGTCTCAACCAGAGCTGCGTCCAGCGAATTGTCTCCCTGCCATCGCTGGGTCACGCCAGGCGATCCCTGGTGCTCTTCGGCTTCGGCTTCATCCTGATCATGTTCTTCAACTGCTTCACGGGCATTGTGATCTACTCGCGCTTCCACGACTGCGATCCCATTGAGTCGGGCCATGTCTCCAAGGTGGACAAGATGGTTCCCTACTTCGTCCAGGACACCGTGGGCCATTTGTGGGGCATGCCGGGTGTCTTCATCTCCTGCGTGTTCAGTGCTGCCCTCAGCACCTTGTCCGCCAGCATCAATTCCTTGGGCGGAGTGGTGTACTTCGACTACATTAAGCCCCACATTCGACACACGGAGCACCGGGCCAATGTGATCATGAAGCTGTTTGTTCTCTTCGCCGGAATCTACTGCATCTTTGGTGGCATGGTGGTGGAGAACTTCAACTCGATTCTGCAGGTGATCTATTCGATTGGAGGCGTTAGCTTTGGTTCTACATGCGGTGTTTTCATGCTGGGAATGTTAATTCCAAAGTCCCATAGCAAGGTGAGTTTGAGGAGTTTCTTAAAGAAGGGTTTCTCTAATCCCTAATCACTCTAATCCCTTTAGGCCGCCTTGACTGGAGTGTTGGCTAGCATCGTCTGCATGGCTTCCATTGTGATTCTCAGCTGGGGTCGCAACCACTACGATCCTCTGCCCACTAGCACCGCTTCCTGCCCAGCTACATCTTTAAATGGAACCCTTACCAGCACAGCTTCCACCCTGCTACTAAATTCCACAACAGAGGCACCTGTGAAAGACGAGGGATTCAGCATTCTGGATCTCACTTTCAACTTGTACACCGTGATGGGCTTCGTCATCACCTGGCTGGTGGCCATTCCCCTGAGCTACATCCTGAAGCCCAGATCCGATTACAAACTAGATCCCAAGCTTCTGTCGCCCGTGGTGCAGCCCTTCGTCCACTACAAACCAACTCCAACGGAAGAGCCCCACCAGCTGAAGCTAGAGAAGCCCGAAAAGGTCTAAAGGATAACTGGGCCACCTATTCAGGATAAGATATGCTTTATAAGCATAGATATATTATAAGATAACCTCACTAAAAAGCAAAGCTTTCTTAAATCTGTTTACTGTATTGTCGAGTCCTTAAATGTTAACTTAATTTTTGTTAATTTAATCACTACATAAAATAAAGCTTATTGAGTAGATTACTTTTGTTGAAATTAAGCTTTTAGTTTTAATTAATTTTGCTTTCTAAAAAGCTTCGTTTTAGATTAAGAGCGGATTTATCCAGTTTTATACCAGACATATTGGAACTCAGAAGAAACTGCTTATCTATATATCACTATAACCGCAATCTCGCCACAACAACTTCAATAGCCTTGGTATGACAACCGACCAAATGACAGGATCTAAATATAGATCTTTAGTCTTGCGAATCCAAAGAATCGCCTATATGATGCGAATGATCAGCCTAATCAGTGGTGCAAAAGATCCCAGTCAGAGTCGTAAGTCTTATCGCTGACGTTCGCAAATATTTGGGCCGTAATCGGTGGGCCAACGGTGTTAAGCTCTGAACACTCCGGCAAAGGGTCGTATAAAACGGGTGCCACGCCCCCTGCAAACCGACCACGCGTATTTACCCCTGTCAAAAAAGCGAAATTATGGTAGGACAAACACCGAAAATGGAAAGTTTTAACAGACGTGAGAAGAGTAAATAGATCTGTTCTTATGAATACACCATGTGATGGATGTTTTGACTTGTGGGCATGATTGTCGTATTATTCTTGAGACGTTATGTATCAGGAAATATCGGAGCTAAAGTTCAACTGCAACTGCAGAAAAGTCAGGGTGAATGATTCAAAATTTCTCAAATTTATCTCAGGCTTCCCTCTGAAATAAATTATTTTAAGTCCAAAAGTCCTCTGGCATAAAGTGTAATAGCGTTAAGTCCTAATGAAAGCCACCTTTTATGACATAATAAAAATCTAATTTTGGGCTTACTTCTAAAGAGAGCAACTCATTACATCTGAATGAAAAATACAGAAGATTCACAGACCTGCAAATAAAATGCTGAGACCTACATTTATCAATAGTTACAGATAAGTCAAACAAAAACAAATTATCCACATTTACTGATTAGCGTCCATAGTTTTACATGATTGGTAAGGGTGTTTATATCTACATGATAAAACCGTATTGACACGGAGTTAGTGATAGTAAACTGGACTGCACCTAGAGAAAAAATTTAAAAATATATTTATATAAAGCTTCTAAAATACAAAAACTATTCAGTTGAGAGAATTTAATTAAATCGTATTGTTTATACATTTTTAAAAATAATAAAAATATAGGTGGTTTAAAAAAATATTCTAATCTAAAGCTATACACTTGAGTGTACCAGAATTTATAATCCGTGTAACTTTGTAACTATAATAAAGATCTTTCTCGGTTGTTCCTTATACTCGAATTCGAGTGCAAAAGCGAATGCAGTGATGCTTTTAAAAGGGTACTTAGAGTATCGGCTTGTTTTTTTTAGCAAACATTATGGGCAAACAGTTGCAAAAAATGATGCTATCCGATTCGCCAGTTCAAGTTCTACTCCCACTCCAGCACTCGTATATTTCAAAAGATGGTCCCAGAGGCCAGGCGCAAAAACAATACAATATAAGAGCGGCATGCCGGGCAGATAAGTGAAGCACTAATCCTCGGATGATTTACGGGGCGACGTCAAGTTCAGATAAGGGGCGCCCCGGGCGGGAGCTATATTTAAGTACAATCCAGGCCAGGGCCCGCAAGTTAGCCACCAGCATCCGTGAAATGAGAACCGGTTAGACCGGACGAAGAGCTCGAGAGTTAGGATCTGCAAGACTACGGACAGGATGTCCACCAGCACCACCACCATGGCCAGTACCGTTGCCAGCGCCTCGCAGGATCTGCGTTTCGGACTCACGGACTATGTTGTCTTCGTCATCATGCTGAGTGCCTCGGCCGGAATCGGAGTCTACTTCGGATTCTTCTCCAAGGCCAAGAACACCACGGAAGAGTATCTGCGCGGCGGGAAGAAGATGCAGACCCTGCCCATAGCCATATCTCTGGTGGCCAGGTGAGAGTAGAGCGGTGTCCGGCGGTCCCAGCCGGATTCCTCCCGATTCCGTCACAATTTATCTTTCTTTATTGGCTGCCCTAAAAATGCGGGTTGCGTCAATTTCTCCAAGTGTCATAAGTGCGCTGTGTTCCAAGAACTACTGCGGATTTGCCAAATCCTATATCATAACGATTGTAAAACCCACACGGAACTGGGGGAATCTGTTTGAGCAGTAACCATAAAGTACTAAGTACTTGTGAACTGGAAGGGTATATTCTTTATAAAGATCTTAATATAAAATTTTCTAAATTATCCTTTTCAGTCAGTTGTCCGGCATTGCCATTATGTCCATTCCCGCTGAAAGTTATACCTATGGTTTCAACTACATATTCGTTGTCCTGGCCATGATTGTCGTGATTCCCATTTTAATCTACATTATAGTGCCTGTCTTCTACGAAAACAATGTCTCCAACTGCTATGAGGTGAGTTAACCCATCAAAATAATGATGAGATATATATATTTACGATTTATTGTAACATTTAGTATCTGGAGATGAGGTTCAATAAGCGCACCCGGCAGTTGGTGACCGCAACCTTTGTCATGAACTCTTTTCTGATGTTACCCGTCTATATGTTTATCCCCTCTTTGGCTTTTGCCCAGGGTAAGTAATAAAATTTTATAGATTGGAATCTTCCTGTCTAAAACTAAACCCTTGCATTCCAGTTACTGGCATGAACATTCATTTGATCAACGTTATGGTCTCCTCCATCTGCATTTTCTACACGATGCTGGGCGGAATCAAGGCTGTGGTTTGGACCGATGTGGTGCAGGGTGGCATTATGCTCCTTTCCGTGGTCGCCGTGGGAGTCTTGGGCACCGTCCGTTCGGGAGGCGTCTCCACAGTTATAGAACACGCCTCCGAGGGCGGACGTTTTAACTTTGAGTAAGTTTCTTCTAAACGGTTTTTATAAGTATATTTAACCTTTGAATTTATTAGCTTTGGTCTGGATCCTCGTATCCGCATGTCTTTCTGGGGTGCCACCATGGGTGGAATCTTCATGTGGACCGGTCACATTGGCTTGAACCAGAGCTGTGTGCAGCGAATCGTCTCCCTGCCATCCTACTCCCATGCTAAAAAGTAATTATTATTAAGATTTAAAAGATAATACAAAATAATGACCCTTTAAAATTTTTCCCTCTTAGATCATTGATCATTGCTGGACTAGGATTTCTGATCATAAGTTTCTTCAACACTGTTTCGGGCATCATTATGTTTGCCCGCTATTACGGATGCGATCCTATGATAGCTGGTGTAAGTCTACTCCTTAAACTACTTAACTATTTCTTAACTACTACCTAACTACTACTTTACTAATCTTTAAATACAACTTAACAGCTTCTTAGCTACCATTTAACTACAACTTAACTACTACTTAACTACTACTAAACTCCTACTACTACTTAAACTACTATGTTACTAATACTTCCATTTTAATTGGTAAATTATTTTGAAACTCACTTTATTCTTCTTCAGCTGGTCAGCACTACTTAACTACTACTTAACCACTATATAACAACTACTTAACTACTATTTTACTAGTTTTTCCACTTTAATTAGTACTACTTAACTACTATTTAAGTACAACTTAACTACTACTTAACTACCATTTCAATTAGTATATTATTTTGAAACTCACCTGTTATCTTCTTTATTCCTTTTCAGCTTGTCAGCAAACCGGACAAAATGATGCCTTTCTTTGTACAGGACATCATGGGACACCTGGCCGGAATGCCGGGCGTGTTCATCTCCTGTGTGTTTAGTGCCGCCCTCAGCTCCCTTTCGGCCACATTGAACTCCCTGGCCGGAGTGGTGTACTTCGACTACATTAAGCCTCGTATTCGGCACACGGAGGCCCGAGCCAACTGGTCCATGAAACTGATCGTGGTCGTGATGGGCGCCTACTGCATCCTGGGCGGCTTTATGGTGCAGAACTTCAACTCCATCCTGCAAACGGTGGTCACCATCACGGGCATCAATACGGGTGCCGTGGTGGGAGTGTTCCTCCTCGGGATGTTCGTGCCCCGTTGCAATGCCAAGACGGCTGTCACAAGCATAATCTTCAGTGTTGTGGCCATGGTTTGGGTCATCGCCAATGGCCAGATGAACTTCAAGTCCGGACTGATCAAGTACGAGGTGCTGCCCAATTCGCTGGATCAGTGCGAGGCGAGGGGTCTGCACATGATTGCGGATGTGATGTGAGTAGTATTATGATTTCATTAGAAACAATATTATAATAAAATTCTCTTACCCTTCAGCAACCAGACTGACTTCACTCCCGTCACGGCGAAGCCTCCTTCTGGCGCACCTGTGACCACCGCCTTCCACAGCGATCGCGACTTTTCTCTCTACGACATCTCGTTCTACTGGTACAAGGTTCTGGGTACCGCCCTCATCTTCCTCTGGGCAGTGCCCATGAGCTACATTTGGCGCCCGGATAAGAACGAGAAGCAGAATCCCAAGTTGTACTCGCCCTTCGTGAGGAAGTTCCTCACTCTGCCCGAACCTGATCAGGATCTGGAGGAGGTGCCACTGCAAGGAGCCAAAAACGGTGAGATCCTCCACGTCAGAATAGATCCTGGCGAAAAGGAAAAGGAAGCTGGTCTCGAACTCTGATTCATTTTAAGTATTTTAGTTATTTATAGGCTGAAATATGAGCAAGACGTTTAAGTAAACTAAATAAAACAAAATTAATTAAAATATCTGTGTTTCCTCAAGAACATTTAAGGACATTCTGGAATTTATTAGACATTAGATAGTAACTGAGTCTTTACTATCAATGTGTGTGAAGTATTTTGAGAACCTATTTTAAAAGTTTAAAGTTATTTATCTAATCAAGTTTTACCAGCATTTTATTATATGGGCAATTAATTAGCTACAAAATACGTTTTTTATTCCACCTCTATGGACGGCAGTACACATAGTGACGAAGCGCACCAAAATAATGTGCCAAGTCGTAAGTTAATATAGCAGTAGGAAGAAAAATCTGTTCTGATGAAAAAAATGCATATATTGGGAAATTGATTCCATCTCTATAGACAAGATTATTCAAAGTGACGAAGCGGTCCAGAAGAAT